ATTATATATATATATATATATATAATTTTTTTTAATTGGGGTTGAAAAATAAAGCATCAGTTACTGTCACTTCTGTTTCAAAGAACCTTAGCAAATTTTACATACTTAGAGACTCAGCTGGTAAAATCTTTATGAGGTGTAAATTTTTGATAATGTTTCACTATTGTGTAGGTTGTCTTAAAATGATTACATTTTTTGTAAGTAAACAATGGTCAATTTTAATTTACCATCTTCAAGTAAATTATGTGTTTAAGGTACACTTTAATTAAATATTGAAATAAGGTTCCCAGATTCTTGGCATTCAACTTTTTGTGTCATTTTCAGTTCAAGCCATCTATCACATTTAATATTGGATTTTTCATTTAATACATGCTAGTACACCTAACAATACATACAAACTCATTTCTTTAAAAACTCAAAATTATACAAGGCAATGAGAAAGATGTTCTATGAGTTATTGACAATCATTAAAAATATATTTTCAGAAGAAGGAGATGGGAAAACTGAAAAGAAAAAAGTTGAAGAAGAATCAGCAGGCCCAGAACCAGTTCGATTGAATGTGAGAAAGACCCTTCGTGATACATTAAATGCTAGGTATACTTGAAAATATAATAATATTTCTAACTTTCAATAAAAATTATTTCAAAATATCAAATAATAATGTATTGGGTTTAGTTCATAAAGTATTTATCAAATAATATATGTTTATCAATGTTATTCTGTAATATGTGCTTAATATTTTATTTTAGAGAACAATATGGTGCTATTTATTTCAAGCAATTATATAACTTTAAGGAGCAAATTTGGAAAGAAAAGTGATGTGATAAACCAAAGAAAAACATTTAGAATATTTACAAATTTTTCAAAGTTTTTTTTCATTAATTTAACCCTCTCTACATGGGCATCCTTTACTGTGCATATCACAAGGTATTTAGTGACTTACATTCAAAATGTTATTAAACTACTTTTTGTTTATGTTATACAAATTAGGATAGCATAGGATCATAGCTAATAATCCATATTTTAATTGTATACAAGTTTTAAGTTCTTAAATTTATAAAGCAATATTAAAAAAAATCCTGAATTTCCTCTTGTGGGAGAAATGTGACATTTTTTCTCCAGACATCCCCTCTTCTCTAATTTATTCACCACCCATCCAATAAGTACAAAGTTTAATATAAATTACTCACTATAAAATCTTCATTGGTTAGTCAAGCCATAATTTTTATAGCCTTCAATTTTGTTTGGTTACAGAGTCATCAAAAGAAAATCATACCCCTCTTGCCACACTCACCTGACATCCTCTCTTTCAGGATTT